CCTCACTCAGAATGATCTTTTCTAGATCCCATCATTTGCCTGCAAATTTCATGATTTCCTCACTTTTGATTGCTGAGTAGTATTCCATTGTGTAAAAATACCACAATTTCTGTATCCATTCCTCTTTTGAGAGACATCTGGGTTGTTTCCAGGATCTGGCTATTACAAATAAGGCTGCTACAAACATGGTTGAGCAAATGTCCTTGTTGTGTACTTGAGCAAATTTTGGGTATATGCCTAGGAATGGTATAGCTGGATCTTGAGGAAGCACTATTCCTAATTGTATGAGAAATCGCCAGATTGATTTCCAAAGCAGTTGTACCAGTTTACATTCCCACCAGCAATGGAGGAAGGTTTCCCTGTCTCCACAACCTCTCCATCATGTGTTGTCATTCAAGTTTTTGATCTTAATCATTCTGATGGGTGTAAGGTGAAATCTCAGGGTAATTTTGATTTGCATCTCCCTGATAGCTAAAGATGTTGAGCATCTCTTTACGTGTTTCTGTGCCATTCTATATTCCTCTACAGAGAATTCTCTTTTTAGCTCTGTACCCCATTTTTTAATTGGATTACTTGATTTATTGCTTTTTAACTTCTTTAGTTCTTTATAAATGCTGGATATCAGCCCTCTGTCAGATATAGGGTTGGCGAAGATCCTTTCCCAGTCTTTAGGCTGTCATTTTGTTCTGACAACAGTGTCTTTTGCCTTACAGAAGCTTTTCAGTTTCATGAGGTCCCATTTATTGATTGTTGTTCTTAGAGCCTGTGCTGTTGGTGTTCTGTTCAACTTTCAATGATGGGGAACCATGCCTGTTTGCCTCAAGCACAGGAAACACTGCCCTCTAGAGGAGGAGCTCAATAACTACTTTCTGAGTGAATAGATGGCTGTGGTTCCTGTTCAGACAAAACAACCTGTATGGGAAGTTTATGCCTCCACCATTGTTTAATTTGCTAGACTAGGTAGCCTTGTTTATCCTACTCTGAAAAAAAGCAAGTGCAAATCGTAGGTGTTTAAAACCAACTTTTTTTTAGAATTTTTTGATGATTCAGTAAAGAGAAGCTGGTAAGAAGAGGATTGACAGGCCATTTGACATTTTTTAAATTAATTAATTCAGTTTACATCTAGGTCATAGGCTCCTCTCTCCTATCCTCCCATTCCCACCTCCCCCTCCCGAATTCCCTCTCCCCTATTCCTCAGGATAGAGGAGCCCTCCTTCCCAGACACCCCAGCTCATCTGCTCACATGAGGATCGAGTTTGTCTTCCTCCCCTGTGGCCTTGTAGGGCAGGCCCATCAGGGGGAAGTGATCAAAAAGCAGGCAACATAGCCCTTGTCAGAGATATTCCCCACTCCCCTAACTAGTGGGCCCACACGAAACCCAAGATTTCCATGGGGCTTCTCTTCTTGGGGGTCTGCGCATTGTAGTACGTCTATCCTGTACTATGTGACTAAAATCCACTCTAAGTGAGTATATACTATATGTGTCTTTCTGCATCTGTGTTACCTCACTCAGGATGATCTTTTCTAGTTCCATCCATTTGCCTGCAAATTTCATGGTTTTCTTTTTTAATGGCCGAGTATTATTCCACTGTGTAAATATACCACAGTTTCTCTATCCATTCTTCAGTTGAGGGACATCTCGGTTGTTTCCAGATTCTGGTTAGTAGGAATAAAGCTGCTATGAACATGGATGAGCAAATGTCCTTGTCGTATGGTTTAGCATCTTTTGGGTATATATCCAGGAGTGGTATAGCTGGATCTTGAGATATGGCTATTCTAAGTTTTCTGAGAAAGTGCCAGATTGATTTCCAAAGTGGTTTCATGGTTTTGCACTCCCACCAGCAATGGAGGAGGGTTCCCCTTTCTCCACATGTTCACTTTGAGTTTTTGATCTTAGCCATTTGAACTGGTGTAAATTGGAATCTCAGAGTTGTTTTGATTTATAGTTCCCCAGTGACTAAGGACGTTAAGTGCTTCTCCACCATTCAAGATTCCTCTTTTGAGGACTCTCTATTTAGTTCTGTATCCCATTTTTAAATTGAATTATTTGATTTGTTGGTGGTTAATTTCTTGAGTTCTTTATATATTAGTCCTTTGTCAGATGTAGGATTGGTGAAGCTCTTTTCCCAGTGTATAGACTGTGTTTCCTCCATCTCTGGTCATGAATGGAAGTGCCCTCTGTGGTAATCTTGATGCCCTACACTCCCTGCAGCTGTTCTTCCATAGGCATTATGGGAGGACTTAATTGATGCCTCCACAGAAAGCTTGTGATTGGTTCTCATCTAAGTCCTGTGACTAGTGATGGTGGAAGCTGGGTAGTGGTTGGTGAAAATTACATTGCTTCATTTGCATGTCACACTGCTCTTCTGGCTATGTAAGATATTTGGTTCGTTTTTCAAGTCAGCCCAAGGGTGTCCTCTTGAGTCATACTCTTGTATCAGTAGACCCCATCAAACACTTTCTCTTGGAATGATCTTTTCGTTATCTTTATTATGAGTACAGCATACTCAGTTGCTAACCCAAAGAGGAGGAGACTTAGGAGAGAACATAGAGTTCTAGAAGTGATCAGAGGCAGAAACAGGAGGGAAGTGAGACAGCTGAGATGACACAGGCTGGTGGAGGAAAGCAAAAAGAATTAGGAAGCCAAGATTATGGAAGATAGAAGGCTGTGAAAAATTAAGGGTTGTGAGAGACTGAGCTTTAGTTGCTGAAAGAGGTCCAGTGAAGCAGCAAGCCTTAAGGGGGTAAGGTTCTGATCTCTAAGGCACAAGAGTTGTGATAGCTGCCATTAGGAGCCTCAGGATCTGAAAGCCAGAACATTGGTCATTGTCCATTAGTGCCAACACTAGTGGCTGCTGAGAGCTACTGATGCCTGGTCACTGGGTGTGGGGCTGCTGCCCGTGGAGATCCAAGCAGTAAGCCCCAGACTTTAGTACATAGAAATGTAAATCCATTCCCTTGGATCCATAATCCTCAGGACTAAGAGCGATAAGTCTCTGCATCAGTTAGTTCAATCTATGGCCCCTGAGCACTCAAAGACCCAGAATTTCCTGTGCTGGAGAAGCCACAGTTTGCTTTCCCATGGCTTCTATCTGCATAGAGGAAAGGAAGCTCAGGGTCTCGGTAGATCAATATTAGATGAGGTAATCAAACTCAAAAAGACAGAAGTCACTTATTCTCACCCTCATGCAGATCCTAGTGTGTGATACACAAATGCGCAGCCTACAATATAGAGGTAAATGTGGGTAACGCTTTAAAAACTTGAAAAGAGGGAAATAAGTGAACAGGAAAGATGGATGTGGGCAAAGGGACACATGGAACATGAAAGAGGCAAAGAAGGATACCGAAGGGCTTGCAAGGAGGAGTCAAGGGGAGTGAGAGGGGAAGGTGAGGGAGAAAGCAACTCTTAAAACATGCTTTGTCCAAAAAATGCCATAGTGAGAGATTGTTTCACTTCAGACTCGTGGTATTGTGGCTCTTCCTATCTTACCACCCCTCTCGCACTGCATTGCCTTAGCCATATATGTGTTAAAGACTGTGATAAAGGTGTATCCACAGGGGTCGGGAACACCCGGGATCCACTAGTTGCTGCCCTGTGCCCAGGTGCGGTGTTCTGTGATACTCTCCACTTGTGGTAAAGAGAAGCTCCTTGGATGGCAGGTGATTGGTAGAGGATTTAGAATGTAGTTAGGAATTATGCTGGCCTGGTAAAGTGATAGTGGTTAGATCTCTTCCAGGAGCCATGACCTCACCAGTCCTGAGAAGTTAGCTGGGTTTCTAGTACGAGGCATGAGTTTCCCTCCTGTTAGTGGGTCTAAGTGCAGCTGGACAGCTGTTGGTTACCACCAACAGTCAGTGGCACCAACTTCACCTTTATGGATATCTTGCCGTACTGGTCATTGTTGTGGTTCATAATCGTCCCAGTCAGGTAGGACTTTTAAATGCTTCTCTCTCTTAGCGGCTTGTGCAGTGTTTTCTGGTACCGTGGCTTCATGAACAAGACTAGATCAGTAGCAGTATCAACTGACATGCTAATATGGAAGGGGGAAATCTCATGTGGTCATTCTCCTAGACAAAGAACGCAGGGAACTAATAACTGCGCAGAGAGCGAGCATTAGCTTTTCTCATGGATGCCTCTGTAACGGGAAGCCGTACAAAGTCGTCAGCCCTGAAACCATACACACACAAACATCCAAATCAGACTGAGTAGGTTGTATTTATATATTTGTACATACATACACACCATACATGTAACAACAATAATACAAAAGAGGCTTTCAATTTGAGAGTAGAGCGGCATGGGAAAAGCTGGAGGGAGGGGACTTGAGAGAGGCTGTAAGGAGGAAAAGGTAAGTGATGTAATTATATTTTAAAGGTGCTTCCTCAATTCCATAGTGATAGCTAATACCTTGTATGGTAATTTGTAAAATAAAAACTATTAATAAAAAATATAAGTATCAGTCAGGTGGTTGTGACAATATTGATGTGTAAGATAATGTGGCCCCAACAAGCGCCATTGGACCTGTGCTTCCTGAACAGAACATGGGGAAGATGAATCTGGAACTCTAGTCATTGGACACTGTGAAAACTTCCGCTCAATAAATAACCACCTTATCCGTGTCTGTCAGGTCTACTTCATTCAACCAGTATCAGACCAGAACAATGCAAAAAATAGCAAAGGAGGCTTATGTTCCCCATGACATTTTTTTTTTTTTTGTGGAAAAGATAATGTGAGTAGATGGTTTCTAATGCTAAGAGCATTACAGAGTCAGTTTTCAGTTCTCTTTTCCTTCCTCTCTGACAGGGACAGTAATCGGAAACAGAAAGAGGCACTGATTGAAGACCCAGTGACTGTTAGCATGAGCTGTGGGACAAATTCCAAATACAGGCACTAAAGAGGTTTGCAGGCTCTGTGGGCAACGGAAGAGCAGCTTCATGAGAATGTTTTTTTTTCAGGGAAGGTTTGCTACATGAATTGTACCAGTGATTCTTCATGCCTGTTATTGTCTAGGAGCACAGTCTGGAATGCTGTCGTATATGGGAGGAGCTGAGGGAGACTCTTGCATCAAGGGGTTGGCTGGACACACAGTTGGAGCAACCAGGACAGACTAGAAGGGATAACAAAACAAAACAAAACAAAACAAAACAAAACAAAACAAAACAAAACAAAACACAAGCAGAGCTGTTAGCACCATCTGTTCATTCCCCTCTGTTCCAGCAGAGCGGAGGACAGAGAGCTCAGTAGTTAGCCCCTCGAGGGCTTTGGCAGACACTGGAGCCTGCGCTCCTCCAGCATGTATTCGGATTATTATTATTATTTTTTTTTGTTACAAGGAAGAGACTCATCTTACCCTGTGGCCATGGAGGATGGTTTGGTGGGCAAAGTAAGCTGTGACCAACGCTATGCTGAATTCCAACAAGGAAAATATTGCTAGCACACCTGCAATTCCTCTCCCAGAAAGCTGAAATCAGGAATATGTAGAACATCAGGCTGAACAGGCCGGTCTCATGTGGACTTCAGAAATGTCCTGATGCATCAAAAGTGCCACCTCGCTCGTGTTCAGCTCATTCTGAGTAACATTTTTTTTTATAACAGCAAGGAGAAATATTGCCAAAAACCCCACTTATTTTCTAATATTTCTAAATAGACTGTTAGTCGAAAGAAAGTCTTCTGCTTTTTAAAAGAAAAATCAAAAGATATTTGTATTTCTCCAAAATAAGCATTGATGGCAATAGAGAAATAATCAGGAGTTGATTGCACACAAGCAGACAATCTTTCTCTCTGTTTTCATTCTTAAAAAGCCACTTGAAACATGACTGGCTTATTTATGCGGAATTTCAAAGTGCTGAAAAAGAAATTTCGAGTATATTTTGGAGCTGCCAAGCTGTATCCATTGCTCCAGTGATGGTCACAGGGTGGTCTTTCCAACTTCGCCTATCTGCAAATGTAATTTCTCACTTTTCATCTTAGCAATCACAGTCCTAGGACTAAAGGTTGGAAACAGAGAGGATTTTCTCAGCAGAGCTGCTATATAGTAAATAGGAGACAGCAATGGCTCTACTCTGGCAGTGAGGCGAGAACAGTCACGTGGTCGATGGCAGGGTACTTACCACCATCCAGTAGTCTTGATAATAGAAGCCATTGATGTTCAGATCACACAGAAACAGAACCACTCCCACAAAGGCAAACATAGCACTAATAATGTTTATTACCCGGATGCTTTTCACCTAATGGAGGCAGTACGAACAGTAAATCTTGTAGAAGACAAATGAATTTAAAGGGAGTGGAGGTCTACCCAGGTTAATGGTTCTTAATCTTTGTTATCTTGTTTTAGTTTTTATTGTACTGAGGACTAAAGTCAAGGTCTGATGCACTGCAGGCAAGTGCTCTACCACTGACCTGTATTCCTAGCATGAAATGTTTGAAGTTGATATAATGCCTTTCTTCTGTCCTTCTGAGTAGTTGTGACAAATAGTTTGTATCCTAGATGTCAGTTTCCTCTAAGAAGCCGTAAATATTGTAACTGGTAGGAATATAATAAACATGCAAATATAATCTGAAGCAAAAGTTCCCCTACCATGCTTATGTAACAGTTTTGTTTACAGTAACAGCTTTAGTATACACATGGACAGTGTGCAGAGAGTGAGGGACTTTGGAGACTCAGTCCTACATGGGATGTCTTCATCAACCTCTTCTCAAGGCTCGGGATCTATGGGGAAGATTTTGTTCTTCCTTCCTTCCTTCCTTCCTTCCTTCCTTCCTTCCTTCCTTCCTTCCTTTCTTCCTTCCTTCCTTCCTTCCCTTCTTCCTTTCTTCCTCCTTCCTTCCTTCCCTTCTTCCTTTCTCCTTCCTTCCTTCCTTCCTTCCTTCCTTCCTTCCTTCCTTCCTTCCTCCTTCCTTCCTCCCTCCCTCCCTCCCTTCCTCTCTCTCTCTCTGACAGAGAAAGAACACAAAGTTGGTTGGGTAGGGAGGTTGGGAAGATCTGAGAGTTGAGGGGGAGAGAGTTTTTTAGTAAAAATTTTAGTAAAAAAAAAGTAAAAATTAAAAGAAAAAAGCTCTAGTTTGTAAAAAAAAATAAAAAGAATGAACTTAAGGTTTTTTAAAGAATTATTTAATTTTATTTTTATTTGGGTGTTTTGCCTGCATGCATATCTGTGTACCATGAGCATGCAGTGCCTGGGGAAGCCAGAAGAGAGCATCGGATCCCCTGGAACTGGCACTATAGAGATATTGAGTCACTGTTGAGTTCTGGGAATGAAACCCAGGTCCCCTAGAAGAGTTAAGTACTCAAGTCAGTGCTATTAACTGCTGAGCCATCCCTCCAGCTGCAAGAACAAAATTAATTGGCCATAGTCTGTGATAGGTACCTTGTTATATATTTAAAATGATGTCACTTTTAAAGCTTCAAGCCACCACACATGAGATGGTCCTAGTTCTGACCTTATACATTCCTATCTAGTTGTACCACCCCCCAAAACCAGAGTGTCTTTCTACATAACCTCTTAGGGGCAGAACCTATACAGAAAAGGATGCTCTGCTTTGTTTTTGGATTACAGTAGATGCAACTAATCAGAGAGATTTTAACTCTAGCATGATCCACTGTTTCATCTGGAGAGGGTGGAAAATGTGAGTACATGCTCTCCCCGACCCCGTTCTTGTGCATAACCTTATATAATCTTGAAACCACTTCTGATCTAGGTGTAGGGACAAAATACTTTTCTCTTGATTTGCCATTAAACCAGGAAACTGCAACAAGGGGCGTGCTGTGGCTGGGAGGACTGAACCCCAGTCTCCGTGGTCATTTCTGTGTGCTCTTATGCTTTGAACTAGATGCTGTCAATGGGGATTTAAAGAACTCACAGCACAGGCAATCTGCATAAGAATAGGAGTTACACACCAGTGAAGAGTGAAAATACAAGACAGAGCTGAGAAATGGCAGTGAACACCCAGGACTTAGTTATTGAAGTGGTGAGCATGTGGGTTTTGGATCCTAGATTCTTCCTTGGTTTTACCTGAGTGCCATGTGACCTAACAGAACCAGGGAGCCATCGGGTTAAAGCTTAAATGATTAGCTTTACTAATTCCCACTCTTGTGCTTTCAAGAGCCTGAATGTGGCACTCTGCCTTCCCCAGTAGCAAACCGAGTGCTCCACTCCCCTTGTGTCAGCAAAGGCACCAACCAGCAGGGGGCAGAAAACTCTTTTGAGAAAGAAGTTCCATCCACACTGTGAGATTCTACAGTCTCAGTTTTTCCTTGCTAGTAATTCAAACCAGTCTTTAAAGGAATTTAAAAACTAGAAGTAAGTTTTCTAACTTACCAGACAGTGAGAGAATTCCTTGAATGCTGAGATGGAGAGTGAGCCAGAAGCCGTGAACTGTAGAAGGAGACGGATCTGTGAATGGTAGGTTCTCTGCATGTGTCCGGGAATGCCTCTTTATACAAGAGATTGGTCTAGTTATGTTTGTTTGGTTTTCCTTACATTCAGCTTAGTTTTTTAAGACTTACTCTTGGATACATCTTTGATTTTCCACCGTCATTACTTTTCGTGTAAAAAATACCTCTTGTTACAGATGACTCCGAGTTCGTTTGGATGACTGAGCCTCTGAGTCAACCTCATCTTGTCCTCAACCTCATCTTGTCATTTATGTCATGTTTCAGATCGTCCCCTTTCAAGACCCAACACTTTGCTTCTTGATCTGCGCATGCGTTCGGAGTGAGTTGAAGCTGCGGTGGAGTTGAATAATCTGAAGTGGTGTGTGACACACCTCCACTATTATTTCTCAAAATCAGAGCCATTGTTTCTCTAAACTCGCTAACTTAGACACAGCGCTGTTCAAGAACTGAGCTGTTAACGGCGGGGGACAGCCATGCTGCACAGGCAGCGGTGTCCTAGCAGTCTACTCACACATATGCCACCCCAGAATGGATATCCACCAATGAAAGCAGTAGAGGGAAATGCTCGAGACACATAGTGAGAGGTGCTCAGCAACCCGAGACCAACTCCAAAGCCAATGTGCATCAATCCAGTTATTAATTCTTCATTTCTAGCCTGTGAAACTTTGCGGCCACGGTCACTCCTATTTATTTACCGTTATTTATTTTGCCAGGTTCCATTCAACCAAACAGTGAATATGTTGATGTATACTGAAACACCTGGGGAGGAGGGGCCTCAGGTAAACCTTGTTTGAGGAGTGTGCATGCATTCACACACAAACACACACATACACACGTAATAAACATTTTAAGGAAATCTTGTTTGACTTCTGAATGGCTGACAAAGAGGCCTTTAAAAAGTATGACTACTTAAGCATCTCTTAGTATCTTGTGTGAGTTTCTTAGTTTGTAAAGAATACTGTCTTGCACAAGTAGAGCAGTTTCTTGCCCAGGCAATGTTAGTCATGAGGAATGGAAACAATGGAGACAAAGCCACTCTTAAGAGTATTAATCAGATGCCTGACAATGTTCTAAACATCTTGTATGAATTATTTCATGTCACTGTGCCAACAACTAGGTGGTAATACAAAACCATAAGAAACCGAGTGCCCAAGCATACACAGTTGTGAAGGGGCAGATGCCCAGAATACACGGTAATGGACTGACTCCAAAACTCATTTGCAATCTGCCCTTTCATGCTCAACTTGGTTCCACCCATTCTGAGTTGTCTTGGTTATTATAGTAGTCAAATGGATTTACTGTTTCTTTGTAAATTCCTCTTGAATTTTAATATGTAAAACACATGGTATTGCTTTTATATTATTTCATTTTTAAAATTTTAAACATTAATTTACTTTCTGCACCTGGATGTTTTGCCTGTGCATCACATGTGTGCCTAGAGGTGGTGCTCAAGGATGCCCGAAGGGGGTGGTAGATCAGACCCTCTGAAACTGGAGTTACAAACAGGTATGAGCCACCATGTGGGTGCTGGGAATGGAACCAAAGTCCTCTGCAAGAACAGCCAGTGCACTTAACCATGGCACCATAGTTTTGGTCCTTGTATCATTTGTTTTTAAAATGCTGGTATGTAACTGTTACCACACCAAGTAAGAGCTATTTTACCAATGATAAGGGATAAATATTTACTTCTTTGTAACTCTTATCACAATGTTCTTTGTTGAGTAAACATGGATCTTGGAGAAACAACAGCTGCTATATTGGTCCAAAGCTTAGCAAAATATCTGTAGTTATTTGTTTTCAAGTTTATGATTATATCTTGTATCTCTAGGAAGACTACAGCCACAGAAACTTCTGTGTTTATTTCCTCAATGAATAGGTACCAAATAAAATTAAATTGAATTAAAAGAAAAACAACAATTTCATTAATATGCTAAAACAATAATATATTGTTGATATGCACTGAGACCTGTGAAAGTATTGAACCTTCTCTCTGAACAATTATTCTTGCACATTCACATATGTACATCAACCTTTACTCACAGGTTCCAAGGGCTGATGGACCCGTTTTAGTCAATGTGACATTTCGGACTCAAAACTCTTGCATTTGACTTCAGGTTTGTTCACACAAGTTTGTTCACACAAGATTGTGTTCTCCAAGAGGACAATCTGGGTACAAAATTCCCTTCCTTACTATCATCTTGATGAAGAGCAGCCACAGCTTCAACCCCTATCTTCTCTACCCCTTTTTAAAACCTTTATAACCCTGACTCTATACCTCATTGATTAAAATTGCCCATAATCTTAGCCACTTGGATGGATAGTCTACTTGTTTTATGCTTTTGGTGATTGTCTCAGTTTCATTTCTGTTTATTTTTTTCCCCAGGTTTCCTTTGTGTTGCTGTGATAAAATATCACAGACAAAAAGTAACTTAGGGGTGATGAGTTTATTTTCAGTTCACAATCCCTATTTACAGTCCATCGCTGTAGAGAAGTCAAGGCAGATATTCAAAGAGCTAATAATATCACATGAGATAGAAATGTACACACACCTGCTATTTATTCATGCTTAGCTTGATTTCTCCACTCTTATACTGCCCAGAACTCCTTGCCTAGGGAATGGTGTCACCCATGGTAGGCTTGGTTCCCCCCTATCAACCTAGTTAAGACAATCCCTCACAGACATACCCACAGAGCAGCAGAATGCAGACAGGCCTTCATTGAGTCTCCCTTCTCAGGCGATTCTAGGTTGTGCCAAGTTGGCAACTAAAGCTAACTGTCACAGTGGTTTTGAGTGGAGGGCATAGATCTTCTACCCCCACCGTCTGTGGTCCCTGGAGTGTTGTGATAACCTGGGATGCAGCTTCACAGTCTTCATAGAGAGGGCCTCGCTTCTGCCAACTGTGGGGTTTGTTTGTCTGTTTTTCAAAGCGAAACTGTACCTTTTTAAAAAAAAGTATGTTTTGATTGCCTATGTCTTTTCTACCAGGAAGAATGCTCCAAATGGATCCTGGTTCCACACAGTAAAAATCAAAGCTGTCTGCTTCAGAGGTGTCACAGGTGTGCTCCCTAACTTCCCTTCTGGCCTCCTTCCGACTGTTCCTTCCTCTGAACATTCTGCTTGCCTTTGTTGACCTCCTCCGTTCACCAAATACATCGCACACGTTTTCATCTGAAGATCTTACGATGGTCATTTTCTCTTGCTCTGGTATTTATGGCTCACTCTGAACTTCACTCTGAGTTTGGAATGCCCATCTTGATCAACTTCAGGTTGCTACCCACTCACTGCCTGCTTCTTCTTCTCCTTTTTATACTCTGAATAGTACTTACTTACTTACTTTTTTAAGTTTGCATATAAAGTACTAGGATTCGTTATAGCATTTTCAAATGGAACTGTTGTTGCATTATTTCTCCTCTCTTCTCATTTATTTCCGGGAACCCTCCTCATACCCTCCCACTGTCAGAGCTTTCCTCCTGTTTACATGTTACACGTATCCTATCATCCATCCCTTTCCCTCAATCTCTCTTTTTTCTCTTCTTGTGATCTCCTTTCTAGTTTTATACCTTGTACTCACATTCACACCTACTCACATACACACAGTAAAAGATAGGATGTGCGTATTAGAGAGGACACAAGATTTTTGCCTTTCTCAGTCTGGGTCACCTCACTTGGTATCTATTATTTTTCACCTTCCAACACACTCTATGGTTTGCACCCTTATTATGTGTACAGCCTTATTTTCTCAATTAGGTCATAGGCCCCCTGAAGGCAGAAACTGTGCCTGCCTTGTGCTCCTAGATATCTTCAGCAACTGTGTGAGGTTGGCTTTGTGGGCCATAAGTTTTCAGGAAATGTACTCTGTAGGCAAAAGGTTGTTGTGTAATTCAAATTCTGATTTCTTACGCGCCCCCCCCCATATTTGGTTATAATTCTTAATCTGAAAACCTCTTGTCTTAATGCTATACAAACACTGCTCCCCAATTGTCCCTTGATATTCTAGTAAAGAAGCTTACAGCCAGGGGGAGAGAATAGGACTGGACTTTCTGCCAGCCAGGGGAGGAAAAGAAGAGGAGAGAAGTAGGGGATTCAGCTAGGAAAGAGGTCCAGGAGACATCAGGAGAGGGGAGCTGGAGCAGCAAAGCTGCAAAGTGCAAGTATCTCTGGCATGTTTTGCTGGGAGGAAACCAGATTAGCTTAGATGGTTAAGAATAGAGTAATAAGCTCTGAAGCTTATTAAAATAATATCATAAAGTCACAATCATTTGGGTAATAGCCAGGCTAAGAGAGAAACTGAGAAACAAGCACGGTTTTATAAAACTATCTTAAACAGTACTCCACTTGGCAGAGGAAGATCCAAGGAGCCACCTTCCCAGTGTAGATTGGCTGCTGGAGAGGGTGGGTTACTGTTTACTTTTACTTGCCTGGAACACTGTGACTTGACTAGGCCACAGAAACCACTAGAAACCACTAACCAGAAACCTTCTAGCCGGTAAGATGGCTAGAAGAATTCTGATAGATAGTAAGAATGTATTGTTTAGTGACTCCTGTAGCCAAGATTTTGGAACTGCACGCAGGGAGATACATGAAACATTTTGGTGGGAGTGTGTGAAGAGGCATGGGGAAAGCTTCACAAATGATGGTCAGTTCTGTCTAAGCATGCTGAGTCTTTACTGCAAGCCTGGCATGCTTTGCAAGGCTTGGAGAAACAAGATTGTTCAAGTCAACTTTTTTTTTTTTAAGCAAAGCAACAAAGACATAATATTTCCAAGGGTTTTTCACATTCTGCTTTCCCCAGAATGTTTGCTAGTAGCTCCCTTTCCTTTAGAATAAAGTTAATTCATTTTTATAGGAATATAGCTTTATAACCAATCCAAAGACAGAAGCAAGGCTGTCTAAAAAGACATTCATAGCTGCGAGATCAAGCAAGAAGTAGTTGGGCTCCTTCCATTTCACCCTTACTGGATCTTCCTGCTAGGGAGAGCCTTCTGTGAATTGTTAGACTCATGACTGAATCTAAAATAAATTAACACAGGCTAACTCATACACAGATTGATCATTTCACCCTGAGAGAGACACAGTAATCAGAATAGTCCTCAAATGTTTTTGCTCATTGGATGATATGCTATTTATAACCAACAGATGCATGGTAATCTTGCAAATGCAACATTGAAATTCTAGTGGCAAATACACTCACCCCAAGTGCTATTGCTGCATCTTTCAAGTTGGTTGTTGTTGTTCCTGGAACTGGATTTGCTGTTGCCATGTTTTCTCGACCCAGCTGATTAGTAGGGAAGATTCCTGGAGATTCAATGAAGGAAAGTTGCCCAGTCTGTACTTGGTTTCCTATGTTTAAAAACCCAACAGGTTGTTGAGGATGAAGAGCCATGGAACTTGTTGGTGGGTAAGGATTGGGAATGGTGCCATGCATTCCAGGGTAGGTAGTTGTCTGGAAAGACGTCATTGTGTCCTAAGCCATATAAAATATACAAAAGTAACACATTTACCAAGAAAAGAGATTAAAGGTTATCTTGTCAAGTGTCAGTTTTCTATGCAAATTGGAGAGATCAAGTGAGCAGATATTGGCTAGTGATAAGCAATTGAAATATGATTCTCATTTGACTTTGGAATCCCATATACCCTATTGTTCAAAAGAAGTAAAGGAGGGGATGATGGGAATACATTTAGTTTTCAGTTCTTCATATTTAGTTTTGCAGTGTGTATGTGTGCATGCATGTGTTTTCCTGAGTTGCTTCTGAATGGCAGCAGAAGGCAGAAGGGGACTCAAATGGTAGGATTTTGTGATTGCATATTTTGAGTAAATGTCCCGATTAAAATGCCAATGGTTTGATGCACCAGTAAGCTGTTTATATCCTTCATGCTCAGATAAAGGGAGAAGATGTCTTTTGACATCTGTGAAGCACAAGAAGATGACTTGCAGAGAAGATCTCAAAAGTGAATCTAAGGATACTAAACCAAATATTTTTGGTATGCAGTTTTTTCTTTCTTCTTTAAGGATTGCTATTGATTTTTTTCCAAATTTAATCATGGAGATTTAGTTTCAACAAAATCCTCTTAGCCACCTGAATAATGTAAATAAGAACCCTCAAGAGTAAGTTATTTAAATAGAAGTAGGAAGACCTAACAGGAATGGTCATATGTGAACTAACAGCTTTCCGTAACAAATAACTTTAATCATGGACTACCTTCCATGCCATCAGTTTGCATTATTGACTCCAGTTATATGTTGCTATAACAGATTAGCAAATAAGGTAGTTACTGGGGCTTCTCCTCAGCAGGCTTCAAATGAGCTCTTTAGGATAGCATTCATTAAATACTACAGGCGATGTGCACTGTGTTTAATTATAAGCATCAGTTTGGGGTTAGAAATCTGGCTCTGCCACCAGCTGTGTGTTTAGTAAGTTTGTTGAACTTTCTTTGCTCTTATTTGTCTGCAATGCAGTGTTAAAAACCATAAAAGAATACCTTCCTTCTAGGGCTATGCGAAATGATTCCTCATGACATGCAAATAATTATTGAAACGGGAGCCATGCATTCTGTAGATCCAATTTCTGAGACTAAATATTACTCCAGCTCTCTTTCGTCTCCAACCTGATACTTCATTAACTGTGGTGTCTGGAGAAGTTTTCTTGATTAAATGCCTGTCGGTTCCTGTATCTAAGCTGTAAAACGACAGCTGTTGCCGTTTGGATGGTTGTAACAAGGTTGAATGATGGCAGTTTTCATAAGCTGTTGTAGGAGTTCCCAGCACAGAACAAGAGCGTGGTGAGCAGCAGAGGCTGTTGTGTTATCAGAACCCAGAGTCTTCTGTGTCATTTCCAGTAGATGATGTGCATCCATTTGGTAAAAAGGAGTGAACTTCAAAAGGTCAATGCCAAGAGCAAGGAGACACGAGATCGGGATATAGTGATGTCAGAACAAGATATTTTTCTGGGCTTTAAAAAAAAATATACAATGCAGTGATTGTCCTATGGGAGGGAGGAAGGGGGAGAGAGGGAGACACACAGAGAGATCATTGCCTATATTTGACTCTGAAATTTGCTGGAGAAATTTTAAGACTTTTTATTTATCATCAGCTTCTGATTTCCTATCTGCTATCTAGTTTCTGGCCATGGAAGTTTCACATAGAACACAAACCGCTAATATCTGACTCTATAACACTCCTGCTAGTCTCAGGGTGTATTTGTGTGAAATAAGGCTGTAGTTTTAGAAAATGAGTAGGAAATGACCCAGTTCTATACTTTTTGATTCATACCAAAATGATGCAGTGTGCAGATGTGAAAGTGATGCCAGGATTAACTGATTCTCCAACCAAAAGGAGGATCCACGTGAGCGGGAGGCAGTGAGCTCAGTTTCATAGATTTTTGTTTTTGAGTTAGTATATTTTTGCTCTTAGCAATTGATAAGCTATTTATCATCAGTTTTTTTTTAATAAAAAAAGAGAACTACCACAACTATTTTTAAATATGCGAACACATAAAAACACCAGAGTTCATGTGGTTTTCCACAGAAATGCTCAATCTCATTAGCCATCAGGGAAATGCAAATCAAAACGACCCTGAGATTTCACCTTACACCCATCAGAATGGCTAAGATCAAAAACTCAAGAGACAACACATGCTGGAGAGGTTGTGGAGAAAGGGGAACCCTCCTCCACTGCTTGTGGGAATGTAAACTTGTACAACCACTCTGGAAAGCAATCTGGCGCTTTCTCAGACAACTAGGAATGTGCTTCCTCAAGATATTCCTAGGCATATACCCAAAAAAGACTCAAGTACACAATAAGGACATTTGCTCAACCATGTTTGTAGCAGCTTTATTTGTAATAGCCAGAAGCTGGAAACAGCCCAGATGCCCCTCAATTGAAGAATGGATGCACAAATTGTGGTATATCTACACAATGGAATATTACTCAGCAATAAAAAACAAGGAAATCATGAAATTTGCAGGTAAATGGTGGGATCTGGAAAAGATCACCCTGAGTGAGCTATCCCAGAAGCAGAAAGACACACACGGTATATACTCACTCATATAGACATATAATATAGGATAAACCTACTAAAATCTGTACACCTAAAGAAACTAATCAGGAGGGAGGACTCTTGCTAAAATGCTCAATTCCTATCCAGAAAGGCAAAGAGAATGGACATCAAAAGAAGGAGAAAAGAGGGAACAAGTCAGGAGCCTGACACAGAGGACCCCTGAAAGGCTCTGCCCTGCAGACTATCAATGCAGATGCTGAGACTTATGGGCAACCTTTGGGCAGAGTGTAGGGAATCTTATGAAAGAAGTGGGAAACAGTAAGATCTGGAGAGGACAGGAACTCCACAAGGAGAGCAACAGAACCAAAAAATCTGAGCACAGGGGTCTTTCCTGAGACTCATACTCCAATCAAGGACTATGCATGGATATAACCTAAGCACAGATGTAGCCCATGGCAGTTCAGTATCCAAGTGGGTTCCATTGTAATAGGAACAGGGACTGTCTCTGACATGAACTGATTGGCCTGCTCTTTAATTACCTCCCCCTGAGGGGTAAGCAGCATTACCAGGCTACAGAAGACAATGCAGCCACCATGATGAGACTTAATTGACTAGGATCAGAAGGAAGGAAAAGACTTCCCCTATCAGTGGACTTAGGGAGGGGCATGCATGCAGAGGGTGGAGGAAGGGAGGGATTGGGATGGGAGGAGGGAGGGAACCACAGGGAGGATACAAAGTGAATTAATAAAGAATAAAAAAATGAAATTAAATAAATAAAAAATAAAAAAACACCAAAGTTGTGATGAAATTTAAAACATAAGGATCACAGCAATAGGAGAAAAACTAGCCGATAAGGTAATTTCAAATAAAGAAGGGATAATTATGATTGTAATTTTTTCTAGGTCTTTTCTATCTTTAAAAGAATGAGGATGTTGGTATAATTTAGAATGTATTATAGCATATAATTGTAGAAATATGGTATTAATAACAGGGGCCTTTTCTATACCTGCTCTGTTCCCCAGATAATGACACAGAGACCTATTAGATTTATTGAACAAGCCTTAAGATCTGTAACTGGGCAGATATTTGTCTGTTCTAACCCAGTTATGCTAGTCTGGCTACCTCCCAGCCACGTGCACTTTTACTTGCCATCTTAGTCTCGCCTTGGCCTTCTGCTGTAATGCTTTGTCTTCACGGAGAACTCCCGTTTGTCCTCCTCACGGCCACTTCTCATGGCAACTTCTTCCTTCCCGTCTTCCTTCTCACTCCTCTCTCTCTACCTGAGATCACCGGACTGGGAACGGGAAATCTGCCTGCTCTCTCCTTTACTCAGTCATTGGCCCACAAGCTTTTTTATTAACCAGATAACTGGGGAGCACTGTTCACACAGCATCAGTACTGTAGAGTCTTCATAGAAATGACAATGTTCTTAGCACTAGATTTATATACGTGTGTGGTGTATATATATATATATATATATATATATATATATATATATAGAGAGAGAGAGAGAGAGAGAGAGAGAGACTTGAAGTACCTTTAGTAGTAATTGTAGTAATTATCTTGTTTCTCTCTGGGTTTCTCTTTCATTTATCAACAGTCTTAATACAGATTCAAGAATTGGCTTCACCTCTCCAACCCAGAGAGTAGAATTTCAAATCCACCCAAACAAACCCCCCACCATTTCATACCCACTAAGACAGGCAGAGTGGTTTCAGTGGACTTACACAGCTTCCCCAGCACCTCTGGGCCTTTTCTTTTTCACCTCCAAGTTCTGTTGATCTTGGATGTTTATGTGGAGTTTATAAGTGCTTTTATTTCCTTGTTTCAAACCAGCCTATCCCATCTTTACATAATTCCAAAGTCCTTTAGTTGCTCATCTTCACTTCATTTGTAAACTTGAGAATGTGCTGTAGTTTGTGTTTTCCTCTCATTTATGCTGGGAGGTGTGTTCTGACACCTCCAGACACATTTCCTCCTCCTTTCTCCTGCTCCTTTGCTTTCTGACCCTCACCAAGGCAGTGACATCACATTCTAATCCCGTTTAAATCAGAGGAGTCCTAGTAAGGGGAACAGGGGTTGTCTCTGACATGAATTCTGTGGCTGGCTCTTTGATCACCTCCCCCAGGAGGAGAAACATTCTTGCCAGGCCACAGAGGAGGACAGTGCAGCCATTCCCGATGAGCCCTGCCTGATAGGCTAGGGTCAGATGGAAAGGGAGGAGGCTCTCCCCTATCAGTGGACTAGGGGGGGATGGGAGGAGATGAGGGAGGAGGGACTTGGAGGGGATGAGCGAGGGTGCTACAGTTGGGATACAAAGTGAATAAACTGTAATTAATAAAAAGAATAATTAATTTAAAAAATCATGCAAGTGCAATTGTAAAACACAGACAATGAAGAACACAAAGAGGAGGAGAAACAAAAGCACCTGTGCTCTGGACACCTAGACACTGTTGCTGAGAATAATTCACCAGGTTCTGTAGACTTTCCTAGGCCAGCATTTATTTTACATACATATGTACAGAATTTTAAAAGACTCACCAAATGAAGATCAGATTGTGTAGTTTTCTGTAATTCACCCTTTTTAACTTAATCTTTTATAAATACCTTTACATGTCAATCTGCCCTTATTGTCCTTCTCAGTACTGCCATGTTATAACTTTGGAGGCAATCTAACTATTAATTTTCAATTGCGTCTCGCAGGTACAAACAAGCATTGTAACTAGAGAGACAATGCATATTCTTGTCTCCAAAATACCCGTGGCTGGCAAGTTTCCCATGTGGTGAGAGCTATTAAGTGTTTATTGAATGAGCGAGTGGGTCAGTGCCAATTCCTCTCTCTCTCAATATATATATCCGATCCCCCTCTGCTGGCCTCCTAGACTCACCTCCAGGCACAGACTCTTCATGAGGCGGCAGTGTAGAGGCCACTCCTCCCCAGTCCCGTAACTGCGCAGGACTGTGGCACAGCCCCATCATGTACTACCACAATTCTTACTTCTTTAGTTGTCTTCCTGAGAGGCAGGATGCATAGCATCTCTTGTTAACATCTCATATCACAAGTGTAGGAACATGCCTATGAAACAGAGCTAAACGTTAAGGTGACTGGCGCCAATAAACGTCGACTTCTGACATAAGGCGTGTACTTCCTTTCCGTAAAAACACACGCAGGGGCTGGAGAGATGGCTCAGTGGTTAAGAGCACTGTCTGCTCTTCCAAAGGGCCCGGGTTCAATTCCCAGCACCCACATGGCAGCTCACAACCGTCTGTAATGCCAATTCCAAGGGATCTGACACCTTCACACTAATGCACATAAAATTAAAAAAAAAATACAGAGAAAGAACTTTTCTGGTAAACTGCTACATAACTCATCATCCAGAATTCTGGAACAGCCTTAGAGTCAATCAGTGTTCTAGGAAATGTTTTTATCTATATTAAAGTAGTAACACTAACCAGCTTGGAAAAGTTACACCTGCGGCAGCATTCTGTGGGAATGTTCCTACGATCAGACAGGACTGGTTTGGAGACTATTTCAGGTATACTTTGTAGAAGTGGGTCATCAGAAGTTAGCTTCCTCAGAGGACCACAGTTAGGAAGCGCCGAAGAATAAGGTCTTGCGAGTGCTTCCTCCACATAAGTGATGAATACTTCTTTCATTCCTTACTTGTGCTGCTTTCTGACCAGAGTAATTTCTGTGGGAAAGCAAGAACCCAGCCTGTAAGCCTGTAAATATTTTTCTCATGGTATTTTGACACAAATCTATAGTCGCCTGCAAAGAGGGCACCTTAGCTGGAGAAGTGCTTTGATCAGTTTGGCCTGTAGCCATGTCTGTGAACACCTCCCCCCTCTTAAAAAAATTTTCTTTTTTTTTAATTTTAGGTGTATGAGTGTTTTCCCTGGATGTATGTTTGCACATTACATGCATGAGTACTTGCAGGGGTCAGAAGAAGGCATCAGATACTCCAGGGCTGGAGTTACAGATGGGTTTGAGTTGCATTGTGGGTGCTGGAAATTGAACCCGGGTCCTCTGGAAGAACAGCCAGTGCTCTTAACTGCTGAGCCATCTCTCCAGCCCTGTGGGGCATTTTGCTGATTGCTATTTGATATAGGAGGTCTCAATCCACTATGGACAGCACCATTTGTAGGCAAGTGGGCATGTGCTGTATGAGAAAGGCAGCTGAACATGAGCCGGGGAGCAAGCCAGAAAGCAGTATTTTTCTATGGCCTCTGCTTTAGTTCTTGCCTACAGGTTTCTGCTTTGAGTTCCTGACCTGACTTTCTTCAGTGATGGACTGTATATCTGTAAACCAGATAAGCACTTTCCTCTTCAAGTTTGTTTTGGTCAGTGTTTTTATCACAGCAACAAAGAGCAAATGGACAGATGGTCATCTCTTCATAAGGTCTATAACTTACTGAGTGAGGTAATAAGACTATAATCCAATTTTCTGGTTCTTTTAAAAAATATACCCCATGTTCTGTTTAAGAAAAAGTAGGATGCTGATGTGTGGATTGCTAAGAGCATCTTTTTTTTTCTACTAACAAGAAAATACCCTTGTTTTCCTATGAATTTTCAATGAGATTCCGAGTATTTTAATATAATTATGAAGAACTGTGTTAATTTATTGTACAACTCCAAGTGGTTCCCCCATTTTTCTAAAACCATGGATAGTATCACATCTGATTTTGTGAGCTGAATTACAATTGAAAGTAAAATTTTCAGGGGTGGCAGGATTGCTCAGTGGATAAAGGCGCTTGCCACTAATCCTAACACCCTGCGGTCAACTCCCACATTCCATGAGGTGGAAGAAGACAATCAATTCCTGAAAACTGTCCTACTCTACATCTGTGCTTTGATAGAAGCATCTTTCCACAAACAAACAAACAAACAAACAAACCAAGTTTTAAAAGAAAGAAAAGTCAATAGTCAATGTCTGTTGCCCATGGTTACTGAATTGTCCTTTTAGAACCACAGTGGTTCAGGCCTCTTTCTGATTTCTCAGTGACAGGAGCTGTCAGAATGATCTTGTCTTTTGCGAGCAGCTGCAATAGTTTGCACGAGGGCTGTCTTTCTGGTGTTGCCTCTGACCCAGGGAGTCTAACCGTTGGTGTTTACCCTGTGTTGCACATTGGTTATTTGCTGCTGCTTGCTTATGAATACAGACACCTCGTCATGTGGTCGATCCTTATTAAATTCGCCACAACCTATTTTAGGTTTTGCATGTAGCGAGTGAGCCTGTGCAGGAAACCTGTGGTTCCTGATGATTGATCCTTCAAGGCAGTGAATGTTAATACCTTTCTGGTGCTCATTCTTGTATTACAAACATCATACATGCTCTTAGAACTTGAAATAAAATAGTTCTCTAGCTAGCACTCCTGATACATGTTTTGGAAGCTACTATTTTAGAAGTTTTAATTCAGGAGAAATTGCTCAACTGCAGAGGTTAGGTTCCTAAGAAATGAGTTAGCAGCCCAAATTTTGGACAGCATCCAAAGGGTTCAGGTTCAGGGCCTACTTTCCGCATGCATGAGTCAAGCCCATGTATATCGGCCAGGTCAAATAAGGGCACGAGGCCCAAGGCAAACCCAGTCCAAGTTCCATCAACTGTCTGTGGAGAAAAGTGGTTTATTGTTCATGGAAAGGACTCAGCTAGTTTTTGAAACATGACTTTTGTGAACTGTGATTTAAAAAAAGTAACTTACTGGAAAAACAAAAGAGCCCCACGTTTTTGTTCGCTGAGAGGTTTAGAATCACAGTACGTACAATGTGGACAGACATAATTAGAAAAGTAGGAAAGAATCACAAAGATGAAAAACTTGGCAGACAATACAGTCACCACCACAGGAAGCCTTTTGCCTTTCTCTGTTGGTAACTGAACAAAAGGATACAAGGGAAAAATGCTTCCCCACACAGACAGTCTACACGCATTCTTGGAATGTGTCTACACGAATTCTTGTGCATGTCACTGTTTAAAGTTCAGTTATTTAAATGTGCTCACTATGCTCGCAGTAATTTGTTTACTCCAAGTTGGTCTGATGGCTAAGCTGCTTATGGAGGATAATGTATTTTCAGGCGGCTAAGGTAGTTTGGAATAAAACAATCACAATTTCTTTTCAAAATGCACGGTTGCCTAAACAGGGCCTACATGACGACAGCACCAGCTGGCGTACCAGCGTGCATGGGGGACGTATCATATGGACCCGCCCCTCAATGAAGGGGTGTTGAGAGGGGAGAAGCAGTTTTCTCCCAGGACGAGCTTCCTGACAGGTTATCAAATTCTAAATGGTTGGCACTCCTAAAAACGTGTACAAATGAGCAACACAAAATGGACTCAGCACACACACACACACACACACACACACACACACGTGTAATGGTAATGAAATAGTCACATTTGAGAGGGAGCAGAGGGCACTGGGGAGGAGCTGAATGGGGAGAAAAAAGTAGATATAATGTGAATTCGGTAGTCGTCTAATGTTCTAATTCTCAAAAATTAGAACATTTAAATAAAAAAAAAATACATTGGCCATCGTTGTTCAGTTACAAAACTTCACCTGTAAAGGTATAGATTCAAGTTTTTGCTTTTCACCAAAAGGTTGATTCAACAAAGATTGATTTTTGACTTTTGTGTCTTTCTAAAGTTGGATAATTTTTACTGTTTGAGAATTTCATACATGCACATAATGTTTTTCGTCCTTTCTTGTCTCCCATCACTGTCCCTTCTCATGTCCACATGCTCTTTGAAACCCATCGAGCCCGCTTAGTGCTGCCAACA